TTTGTACTAAACACAAAATTTATGAGATTAAGGCAAGATGTTTGTGGTATTAAAATAACTTATCTAACAGATTGTAATGTAACTTGTGATATTACATTTTTAATGTACAATGATTTAACAAATAAATGTTTTATGTTTCTTAAATAAATTTTTTATGTTTGTTAAATATCATTAAAAATTAATTAATATAAATACTGTTGTTCACCTACCATCGAATTATTTCAATCATCCCGCGCTCATCGTACCCTACAGCTATGTTCACTGTGCCCGCAGGGGGGCAGAATGAGCATTTTTAAGAACTATATTTTATTATATGATAACTAATTATTTATTGATTTATATATTTTTTATTTCGGGTAGTTTTATTCTATGTGTCACGCTCTGAAAGATGCTCAGCTGGAGAATTATATTTAAGGTGGAAAAAAATTGTAAGAGTGTAAACAATAATGGGTGCCCGTCATGCCCTACTATCCCTTAGTTAATTGTTCTAGATAGCATGTCATTGTTGGCTGATTTGAGTAGGAAAAAGATCGTTCACTGGTCCAAAGCGACCCAACAGAAGACGTAATTGGGGTACAGCAAACATGAAACGTTCAAACGTTTTGATGATCGTAATAACATTTATATAATTAAAAAAAAAAAAAAACTTATGTTACATAAAAATCTGTAGGGGCAAAAAAATTCTTCACCATCGACATACAATCTTTACCTCGACCTGAAGTTGAACGAGAAATTCTCGAACACTACTTTAGCTGTACCTATAGTGCTGCTCATGGGCAGCAGGATCTACTGGCTGTTATAATAGCTCTCATATGTTACATTATAGTATGTGAGGATCAAATTACTTTAGCTCCAAGGCAAGGAGACGTTTTGGATGAATGCCACGCTCAGGTGGATGCCCTTGTATGTACATTTGAAGTGGATATTATTACCGTGGGTCAATTTGTTCTTGCATACAATGTAGCTCTGCTTAGTAAAAATTTTATTTTTATGGTATCGCTTATCGTTCCATAAGCTCTTAATATGGAAAATGTCAACGATTTTTAAACATCGCGTTTTTATCTGTTTTTTAAGAGTAAAAAATTAATAAAATACTGTGTAGTTAATGATGATGTTTCTTTTTAGGAAAAAATAATAAAATTGAATGAGTCTTCTTGAAGTTTTAAGTCTTTATGCATTCAATTTTCAAGTTATTTGTTCATTATAGTTTGATCAAGGTATACAGAATTGGCAACATGATGTTTGATACAAAAAGAGCGCATTCGTATAAAACAGACTTTTTACCATTCATGATATGAATCACAAATACGTGAAATGATCCGTTACAAAGAATTATCAGTAAGTAGAGAAAACGAAAAAAGAAGTATACCTTGATTGCTAATGCTTTGGTATTTCAAGCCATTATTCAAATTCGTCCAAAGTTCATATACTCTATATTTTCTCAATTTTATAGAACAACCGCTCTTTGATAAAAATCTAATTCATCCCCAGAAAAATCATCCTCAAGTAATATTTCAGAATTTTGATTGAGGTACGGATCAAGGGACATCACTCTACCATTTAATGATTTTCGAATAGTTGAATTCTAAACTGGAGATTGAACACGATGTTTTTTAAGATGTCATTCCTGGAGTAACTGAACGAAACTGAACTCAATATCATATCCAACTCAGTTTTATATTTTTTTACCAAGTGTTAAATAATAAGATAATATTACATATCATAAATCAATTTATCAGTCATTTTAAAATGCTTTTTGTTGTATCTTATGTTAGGATAACACTGAAGACATAAATTTAATACCAAGCTCAAATAAGTCAATTTTAATAAGATCTATAAGTTTTATATTAAAAATTTGGTTTAATATGGATTCCTTTGATTGAAGTGTAAAATGAGTTTTTAGCCGTTTTGAAACGATTTTTATTCTTTACAGTGATAAGACGGCAGTATAGAGAAAAATTCACTTTACAACCTTTGTACTTAACATTTTGTTGTAGAATTCGAATATTTTCAATTCGCGTGCAAAAAACCGATTTTTTTTGCTGTTTTCACATCTATTTTGTACTACAGAGAGTTAGCATTCCATTACAGAGTAAAATGTGTAATACAAAAAAGTTGTATTTTATCGTGATCTAAAACTTTGTCGTTGAACACAAACGTGTACAATACATGTATTAGAATTTAGAGCCAAAAATCCTGTTTATTATTCTTAGAATGCTATTGAAAAAATGCTGACAAAATTTTTCTTTCCGATGAAAACTGTCTGAATGCAATACATTAGACTTGATATTAAACTTGATGTAATTGAAGAAATTGGAGCTTTTACATACATATTGGGGGTGTGCAAAAATAATGAAACTTTTTTTTTGATACACTGAAAAGTTATTTAGTTATCTAAACTTTTAATTTCCTCACGCCCTCTTATGGTGTATATGAGAATACCTACGTTGTAAGAATTTTTGTATGATTTTTAACAATGTATAAAAGAACGAGGTTAACAATGTCGTTAAAAGTAAGAAACATTTCGCCATTGTCTTCTTTATGAATATCAACAAAGAAAAAAGGCAATAGATGCCTTTGAGTCATTAAATAAAGTTTTTGGTGATAATTTGGTGGCATATTCAACAGTTACCAGATGACTGCAACAATTCAAAAGTGGCGATTTGAGTTTAGATGACCATAAAAACGTGAAGGTCGTCCAGAAAAGTGTTTAGGCAATGACTTGCAAGCTTTTCTCGACGAGAATCCATGTCAGACTCAACAAGATTTGGCAGAAGCGCTTGGAGTTGACCAAACTACAATTGCCAGATATTTGAAAGCGATGGGGGGAATTGCAAAGGCAGGAAAATAGTTTCCACATCAGTTAAGTAAAATAAACAAAAACGAACGAATCGATATTGCCATTATCTCCTTGTTAAACGTTTTTGTGGAAAATCATAACAGGAGGTGAAAAGTGGATTTATTTCGATTATCCGAAGCGAAAAAAATCATGCTGATCCGGCTCGAACAACCCTCCATGTCGTATTAGCTTTCTTTTTGATTGTCCTTCTTACATCGGGCAGCTCTTCCACCTTCCAAATCTTTGGAATTGTGTAATACACAACCAAAAGCATGAGAGACGGTTTTTTCTTCCAATGTTTGTTAAGCTGGCAAATGTGCATTGTACAAGTGAAGGAAAGTATCGGAAAATTGTATTTTTAGATTTCAAAATTACAATCGAATGATAACAGATAGTGTATAATATATAAATGTGCCCTTACCTTTAACACATATAGTAAAACTATGTTTTTTTAAAAAAAAGCTTTTAAAGAATTGTTTTTATTGTTACATTAATGATCCCCCAGCGGTATTTTTAGGTACATACTTCCATCGTTCTCTTAAATACTTAAAAAACTCTAATGATATATGAGTGGATATCTTTATAGGAAATCCGAATTTCAATTAATTTAATTTAAAAGTTAAAAAAATTGATCCATAATTAGTCAAAAGTTTATTTTCAATATACGAATTTAAATGTTGTGAACGTATTTATTTAGGGACATTTTTATAATGTTTTAATGATACTTCCAAAAACAGCTATTCTACTATTGTAATTCATCGTGATTCCTGCCAGTATTTGTAAAGCTCAAGAAAAAAGGCATTGTATTTGTCCAGTATCCAGAAAAAGCATATAAACTCTTTGTCTCGACTCGAAAAACGGGCGTAGTTTTTGTCCGAACTCAAGAAAAGGGCATACTCTTCGTCTTTGGCGTCGATTTCATGTTCCACTCGAATACAACGTCGTTTAAGGGGATATCGACCTGGAAACTTTTTTAATTATTCAAGGGATGTTTACTGCTGAAGGTACAACTGAATTCGGACCATCAAAAAGTATTCCTTTAGTTTTAGATGCAAAAAAAGGGGTTAAATTAGCTCGTATCTCAATAGTAAATTTGTAATTTTGACGACACCTGGAAACAAAATACGGAGTTTTTAATTTTCTACTGTATGGGATCTTCAAGATATTGACTTAAACAATACTTTCACGCATTTTAGACATCAGCAAAAAAAAAGTTGTATCCAAGACTTGGATCCAAAAATTAAAAACCCGTAACGCTAAGAAAATATAGCTGATGCCTTGCGCATGATATAAAAGCAAAGATGAAGTTCAATTTTTATTTGGCGCTTGACAATATAGATTTTTAACGATTTTATAAGAGCCCGTAACGCTAGTTCCTTTTTCAAAGCGCCCAGAATGCTGCAAAGAATTCAGTAAGTATATCTTCGCGAAGAGTTCCGTCATCGACTTGGAAGGTGATGGGTCAAAAAAA